GCAGGATTGCTGCCTCTTCAGCAACACGAGGGTGAAACAACTGTGATTTGTTGTTAAGTGTAGCAGGCAGTGGTGCTGGAAGAGGTAACACGGGTAACACTGAAACAAAAAAGGAAATTCAAACATGATAATTATAATATTATTATTGAAGGGGTAAATTATTATTAAACTTTAGTAAATTTTGAAGAGATGTAGATAAGTAACAGATTGCCATGAAATGTGGTGTGAAATTTAAGAACCCTCCTTTACACAATTTTTTCAAACCGTAAATATGTCATTGCAATAGAACAGTAATAAATATTACTCATAAAAACAGTAATATAAAGACCTATTCATTGCTCAAAAAAAAGTCTGCGAATTTAAATAACATTAAACCTAGAAAGAGCTGTAGACCATATTTTGAACGTGAACAAATACTAACCTTGTCGTTGATCTACATATTAGAATTAGCAAGTTTTGTAAAGAAAAATATCAGGTTGTTTAATTTTAACAAATACGAACGCCGGAAAAACAAATTGATACTACCTGCACCTAGACTGCACATGTATAAAAATAGCCCAGAATACCGAAGCGTACAAATCTATAACAAGTTACCTGAAGAAATACGGTCAACCAAAACTATATTTCAAACTAGATTGAAATCTTTATTAATAAACAAATCTTACTATAGTATTCAAGAGTACCTCGAGGATAAGAATTGTAAGTATAGTAATAAAATAGTACCTCGATCATAATTTAATATTTTACTTGTTGTGTTTGATGTGTAGATTCTAAGCTTGTAATAATTATTCACGTATCATAACATCACGCCTTTTATCCCCGAAGGGGTAGGCAGAGGTGTACATTATGCCACTGTACAATGTAACACCCACTTTTCGCTATTTATGTTATGAGTCCCATGTAATAGGGGGTGAGCCTATTGCCATATACCGGGCACAATTCCAGACTCCATGCTACTACTGAGAATTTATAAAAACTCAGTAGTACTTCGCCCGACCCGGGAATCGAACCCGAGACCCCTTAACCGGCAGTCGCACTTGTAACTTTACAGTTTAATTTTGTTATGTCTTCACTCACTATTCGGTTAAGTTTTGTTATTTGATTTCGTCCAAGAATTTTATTGAGTATTAGTTTTTAATTTTAATATAAACAATTATAGAGTGGTAGTATATTTAGATTTTAGATATGTTCATTGTAAGTCACAGGGTGACATTATCACTATGTGATTAAACCCCTTAAATAAAGATTAAAAAAAAAATATAGAACAGTCAATATATAGGTATAGTTATAGCTCTAGGAAATAGTTATAAATGTTATAAATAAATTTTGTAACATTTTAAATTGCTGCACCCTAACAGGGTATGTACTGAATTAGTTGTATGTAATACTTCTTATTATATGTACATTGTGCAATATGAATAAATAAATAAATAAATATTCCATGATGCAATTAATTTATTGCATTGTAAAATATTGTTCTGTCACATTTATTACAGTAACATATATTTATTAAACCACTAGTTTTATCTGGATTTGGCTTATGGTGCAAACTAAAACTGGGAATCAAGTAGATAACTACTTTAGAAAATTCCAAAATAAACCAGAATTAAACAAATTAGGAGTCCAAGATTTAATGTGAATGTCTATTTTACTTATTTCATTGTATAACTTAATTGGTGAATCTACCAATAAATAACATGGCTTCTTATTTATTTTGTATTCAAAATGAGCTTTAATAAATTATTGGATAAAAATTATACTCTTCAATTGCACTTACACTAGAATATACAACAGAATAATAAACTAAAAAAGAAAGGTTATTACTTTAGAAAGAGAAAGTTGGAAATATTTTAGTACCTTACTTAAGAAATACAGAATATAAAAAAAATTATCTCCTTTTTTTGATGCCTTTTTTCAAACAGTTTTTGGATCAGAAAGGAGTTTTAATCAATATTTTAATAAAACAATAGCCAGTTCCTTTCCACAACCAAGTCTAAGTGTCATATCTTTGGTCAGACTCATTGTCTTTTTTAACAACAGAAACCAAATAATATTATTTTATTCTGTTTTTAACAGATTAAGCTATGTTAAAGTTTTCAGTCGGAGGAAAGTTATTCTCCACTTCATTAGAACTACATAATGTAAACAAATTTAATTAGTCCATCCATATTTATGTCATAAAAGCCAATAAACTTAGAAATAAATAATGATGTGATATGATCACTTATTTGTTGTAGAATTAGTTCGTTCAAACACATTAATTGACCCAGGAATAAATATAATGCAAAATAGATTAAAATAATAAACCTTTAGGTATGGAAAATTTCACTTAAGGTTTCTCACTCTCACCTCAATACCTTACACTATAAAATCTGACTAAACATTCAAAATCAATGTACATTAATATAATATATTTTATGGATATTACTATTAAACCAATAAAAATATGATATGTAATACTCTTTAACACATCTTTAGTTTAAAAGTAATAGTAAGTATTAGAAAAAATATTAATAAGTTGAGATTAAATAAATCAAAAATACCCAAGAAGGCACTTATCAGATGGTACATACCTAGAATTAATGTTATGTAAATAATGCATTTTGTGTTTACTAGGATTATAATGGTTATGCAGTTTCTAAGACAAGAAGGATACAACAATAATTTAGTATTCCATTAAATAATTGATATGATTAGCAAGAAATACTGAGAAGTTCTAAATAAATGTTAGTTGTCAAAAGAACTCATATCTGATGTAGTTCACATACTTACAGTCTGTCAAGCTGGCTACTCCTGCTAATGTCGTAATAGGGACACTTGGGATATCCCTTTCATTCATCTTGATTAAACAGTTTTATTTTCTCAGGTGCACTATTATTTTCCTAGAAGTTAAAAAGAAAGCTTTTGCTGTGGTACTAAAAAACACACCATACAAAATTGTTTGCGTAGTCGTTTCCACTATCATTTTACTTTCCACTCACGTAACACTTTTGCACAAGAATATTTAACATTACCAATTGATTATTTATCAAACAGGGGAAATCACAAATAATTGAAGTTACATAGAATCCAAAGATTGTTGTGAAAATGGGGCAGCCGTCAATTTGATGCTTTGTTGTGCGTTGTGCATCAAAACGAAGGTCAGCGCATCTGTACGACACTCCCATGAGAAACTGAGAAAATTAGTTTTATTGACACTAAATCATATGTTGATTGAATATGTAGCAAATACTCACTGAAACATTATGTTAACTATGTCTAATTTATTTATCCAGGACAAATCAAACATAATCCCAACATTTAGATAATCAAGAAATTACGAATAGGTGTTGCCAATCATCAAAAAATTCACCACATGACGCTATTAAATATTTTTGTCACAACCGTAGACAACTTGCTACAAGCCTAGAACTGGAGGAGAGGGAATTTATTCGGATAATGATGTACATGTACTCAAAATTGATTAATATTCAGTAAATGTTTATCAGTGGTTTTTACTCGAGCATTTATCCCAAACATTGGATAAATACTTTTTACAGTAATAATCAAATGTTTATGATTTATATTCAAGTTTGACTTGATCCAAATCTGATAATGTTTACGAAAAGAGGAAAGTTAAAGGAAAGTTGAGTAAAGGAAAATAGGAAATAACATATAGATCAGAGAGTGACTAGACTTTATTTGCTACACATACCTATTGTTTTATCCCGTTTAAAAATATCTCAGTATTCCCGTCCTTACTCCACTGGTAAATTATTGGCGAAAACCAGTAAAGTTCTTATATCGCATTTGATAATTATAATTATTGTTACCTGTGAAATACATACATGGATTTTTAATGATTTGTAATGTAAACTGGTACAAAAAATACTAAATCTACCATGGATTTTTATTTAGTTATCTGTACCTCTGTAGGTACTTTTCAAGTCTTGCTAGTCGTCACTTGTCCCAAGCAAATGACAGTTACAGGTCATTGACTCAATTATTATTGTCTATGATTCTTTCCGCAAATTGGGGGTTTTTTGCCCACCAGATGGCGCATATGTGTAAACTGTAAGAGGTACAGGGTACACCAAACATCCACTATTTATAAGGTATGTTAGAATATCACGTAGTATCTCTAAGTAGTCTGCGGAATATCCTTCCTATTAATAATGAGAAAGTTTTTCACAAACCAGATCAGATTCTGAGTTATTATTTAGATAATTTTTAATGAACTAAAAATATATCAATAACTGACATATTCAGTTGAGTAATTTAATTGTGCAAAATAAGTAAAAATTGAGTAATCGAACAAATTCGTGCTTAGACATAACATAACATCACGCTTTTTACCCCCAAAGAGATAGGCAGAGGTGCACATTATTGCACTTAATGCCACTGTACAATGTAACACCCACTTTTCACTATTTATGTTATGAGTCCCTTGTAATAGGGGATGAGCCTATTGCCATACCTATACCGGGCACAATTCCATACTCCGTGCTACCACTGAGAACACGAGACCCCTTGCCCGGCAGTCGCACTCGCGACCACTAGGCAAACGAGGCAGTCGTACATATAATACTCTACTAATACCAATATCAACTAGTACAGTGACACTACATACCGATTACCGATATTGTATTAGTGCTTGTGTCATCGAAGTCTAAACTCTAAAGTTCATTTTTAAGTTATCTGTTTCCGTCATCTGTCACAGACTCACAGTCACAGTATCATAGTTTAACTTTGTAAGGTTATAGCCAAGGTTGAAGCACTAAGACTGTTTTTGTTTAAATTTTCAAACAAATCTTTGATTATTTGAAGTAAGGTGGCCCACTGAACAGTTGGGTTAAAACTAGTATTGTTAGACTTTTAATTATTTGAAACATTCAACCAATTAAATTATGAATTTTATAATTTCTTATTAAATATTTTAGCATACATTAGTTACCTGGAGTTGTAAACTGGAATAACTGGATTTTAAGCTCAACGATCATCACTAATAAACATTCAACAAAATGGATCTTTTGTATTGTGATGCAGTTGCAGTTCACTCACTTACTTGGTACCTGAAGTATGTTGGCATACCATTGACCATTGGTGTGACAATGTGTAAATTATTCAGCTGTATCTCCACAAATAGACGTCGTGCTGCATTGCAAGGAAAGGTATGGCTATATTAAATTTTATATTACACAAAAACTCATGTAAGTAATGTATTTACATAGAAGTTGTATGATGCAATTTATGGTGCAGCAACTGGTCAGTGGGTCGTTTTAGGGGCGAACCTAATATGTCACATATTATTATGTATGTTATTTACATGACTTAAATTATTTGGTTTTCTAATTGTATATTTCCAGGTAGTAGTAATAACTGGTGCAAGTTCTGGTATAGGAGAAGCATTGGCTCATGCATTCTATGAACAAGGAAGCAAGGTAGTGTTAGCTGCTAGAAGAAAAACAGAATTGGAGAGAGTAAAAAATGACTTAGTGTCTAAGAATCTGGTATATATCTTTTTACTTTTTCACACACATTCATCCTTTAAACTGTCAAGCACCAAGCGGTCGCCGGTGACCGCGACCTATTGTTCTTTAATTGTGTCTATAAAACCGGTACTCGACGAGTTAATATATAAGGTGTTCTATAATTTTATGCCACGGCTTTAATGGGAGGTAGTGTTATGTTTACAGATTACAATTGTGAAGAAATTTCGTACCCCGGACCAGTTAATTACATACAGTAATTAAGTAAACATTGACTACATTCTGCATAATGTGGTTCACAAATTACGCGCGATGCGTCGCTTAGTCAATGAAAACAATTGCTATCTCTTTCCACGTGTACTGAGAATGAAAACGGAAATCAGCTGACTAGTTCGTCACTATCTAATCTACTAGATACTCAATAGGCAGGCTAACAAGGGTTTTAAAAGTGCAATTACTTACCAGGTACGGCATTCTTCCGAAAAGCTGATGTAGGTAAATAAGATTATAAACTTCCCATCACACTTAAAACAGTTTTTTACACACTCTCTACCTACTTATCTACAAAACTGTTGCACAAGTCCACCTTCGCGTTGCACACAAATGAAGGCACGCTTCCAAACATGTCATATCACATTACTTAATGCGTCCGTTTCACTTTTACTATGTTTCGCGTTTGATTTAAAAGACGCCACAAGTTATTGTCTCTATCATCGTAAACTCCGGCAGTATCCCTTGTGCTCGCAAGACGATGACACCGAAAGAACTCTAACACTTCCTCTTCGAGTTCTGATTAGAATTTCGTCGCCTGGGAGTCATTTTTACGTAGCGCGCGCGTATCCCCGACATTGAAACTAACAACGTCCGCGCAGGCAGGGGTTGACTGGGCTACTGGCGGCCGGGCGGCGCGTGCGACGAGTTCTGCTGGCTGGGGTGTGCTGTCTCGTTCTTGAACGCCCCGTCATACGCTGTTGCCATCCTTATCAGTAGCTCAACCCCCGCCTGCCCGGCGGCCGGTTGACCAGCGCGTGCGACGAGTGCAGGAGAGGGTGCGGGCGCGCGGGGGTGTGCAGCGTGCTCTTAGCCGCCCGGCGCGAGCGGTCTGATAAGGATGGCAACAGCGTATGACGGGGCGTTCAAGAACGAGACAACACACCCCAGCAGAACTCGTCGCACGCGCCGCCCGGCCGCCAGTAGCCCCGTCAACCCCTGCTTGCCCGCACGTTAGTTTTAATGTCGGAGATACGCGCGCGCTACGTAAAAATGACTACCAGGCGACGAAATTCAAATCAGAACTCGAAGAGGAAGTGTTAGAGTTCTTTCGGTGTCATCTTCTTGCGTGCACAAGGGATACCGCCGGAGTTTACGATGATAGTGACAATAACTTGTGGAGTCAAACGCGAAACAAAGTAAAAGTGAAACGGACACGTTAAATAATGTGATATGACATGTTTGGAAGCGTGCCTTTATTTGTGTGCAACGCGAAGGTGGACTTGTGCAACAGTTTTGTAGATAAGTAGGTAGAGAGTGTGTAAAAAACTGTTTTAAGTGTGATGGGAAGTTTATAATCTTATTTACCTACATCAGCTTTTCGGAAGAATGCCGTACCTGGTAAGTAATTGAACTTTTAAAACCCTTGTTAGCCTGCCTATTGAGTATCTAGTAGATTAGATAGTGACGAACTAGTCAGCTGATTTCCGTTTTCATTCTCAGTACACGTGGAAAGAGATAGCAATTGTTTTCATTGACTAAGCGACGCATCGCGCGTAATTTGTGAACCACATTATGCAGAATGTAGTCAATGTTTACTTAATTACTGTATGTAATTAACTGGTCCGGGGTACGAAATTTCTTCACAATTGTAATCTGTAAACATAACACTACCTCCCATTAAAGCCGCGGCATAAAATTATAGAACACCTTATATATAAAGATATCTCTAAATCTTCTCTATCAGTGCTCAAAAGGGCATTTTGATCTTTTGGAGTATTTAGAGTTACTAATCAGAAATACCATTAAAATGATTTTTGTGTTTCAGTCTACTCCAACACTGGAACCGGTTGTACTGGAGCTGGACCTTACAAAATTGGGAGAAATGAGTTCATTTGTTCAAAATGTCTATGATGCCTGTGGAGAAATAGACATTTTGATTAACAATGGAGGTATCTCACATCGAGGATCAATTTTGAATTCGAAGATAGATGTTTTCAAGAGTATTATGGATGTTAACTATTTTGGTTCTGTTGCTCTGACAAAAGGTAAATACAATTTTAATATTCTTTTAGTTCTGAATGAATTTAATGAAGTATCAATAAAAATATCTGTCCTACTTGTTGTGATTATCGCATGCAATCCATAATAAATAAGTTACTTGTACTAAGTATATGCTCTTTTTATATTTCTTATCTTTCAAAATTTTATTTATTCATTCTATGATTTATTTTCTAGAATGTCTTCCAAAGATGGTGCAACGCAAAGCTGGTCACATAGTATTTGTGAGTTCAGTCCAGGGGCTCATTGCCATACCTGAGCGCTCTGCATATGCAGCAGCAAAACATGCAATGCAAGCCTTTGGAGATTCTCTTAGAGCAGAAATGCATCAGCATAACATCAATGTTACAGTTGTTAGCCCTGGTTATATAAAAACTTCTATATCTTTAAATGCTTACACTGGGTCTGGAGAAGCACACGGAGGTAAGTATTTTTTAATAATGGCCTAATGATATCTGTTGTTTACATTGGCAAGTGGTTTTTGTTGTTGCCCTTTATTATATTAAAGTATAAATATAAATAAATCTGTTCCAGTAATGGATAAAAGCACAGCTGCTGGTTTCTCTCCAGAATACACTGCAAACAGGATCCTTAATGGAATTGTGAACAAAGAAAAAGATTTGGTTATTAGCCAGTTCTTACCAAGTTTAGCTGTAACTTTAAGACATTGTACACCATCATTATACCACTGGATTATGGCAAGGAGAGCTGTCAACACATCTTAGTGGTCTCAACTTTTAACTCAAGTACTATACAAAGAAAGAGATTTATGTCCAAAAAGATAAGAAGCACAGTTATTTATTATCATAGAACTATTTTATTAGATGATGGTTAATACTCAAATCAATTTTTAATTTTGCATTTTCTATTACTTTTACTGATAGAATTATTTGATGTGTTATCTCTATGATATAAAATGTTCAGCAACAAAATATTACATCAATTATGCTTACAGAAACTTTACAGAAGTGAAACAGGCCATTAGTAATATGATAAACTTATTTCTTTTTAATTTATTTAAACACAGTACATCAGTTTAAATTGTAAAAGATTTTATGGGCACTTATTTAATATCACCAATGGCACGGGTTTTTATTAGTTTTTAAGGTAGACATAACTGTCTTTAACTTTGAGTTAGGCACTGTTTTAATTAATTATAATAATATAAGAAATTATATTTTTATATACATATAATTTGTATTTTCGCAATATGTACCTTATGCTATCAAAAAGATAATAGTATAATAAAATTTATGAAGTAACATTGACATTGTAAAACATAAACTGTCACAAATTAATACTCAAATTGTTAGATAGCTTGCTTCAATTGGGTTTGTTGTATCATTCTTCAATGTTGTACTAAGGTACAACATTTGTTTTTATTACTTTTAAGTTGTATTATTGATTTCACATTCATCAATAAACTCTTATTTATTCATGGTTCACATAACAGGGTTGTATTTAGATAATATTAAATATTATTTTATTTATGGCAGTACATATAAATGGTATTGTACCACTGCGACACACTCGTGATTAGATACTAAGCACTTAAATGTAGAACATTTGTTTTACTTTTTTAAGAATTACTGAAAAAATTTACTTTATTATTGTAAAAATAAATTATAACGGGCACAATAGCAATCTAATATTATAAAGGTATAAAATAAACAATCATTCAAATTGTATCATTGTTTTATTACATGATAACAGTGAGGATATTATTATTGGAGATCACCATTACCTTGCTTTTTAACAGAATCCTTCACTATCACATTTGATTAACTAAAAAGCATCCTTAAATTACAAGAAAATATCTTTTGTACAAGCTTTAAACTAATTCTACTATTAATAACATTTTTACATTGCATCCTACAATAAATTATACATAATATTGTATAATTACATCATTAGACTTCAGACGTAAACAACATTATTAGAAAGCACTAATATATTTATGCTTTTCATTGGAGCATTTAGTGACAAAAGTCCAAATATACGCTCATGACCATTATTATGCTATTTGCAAGACTATATTTTTATTTAAAAATGTTATATAGTCTCCATAAGCATATAGCTGTCGCTGTTATAGACACTGTTGTATGTAACATAATTTTTCTTTTATTGTCTGTGTGCACCAGAACAACTGGTGATGCAGATGTTAGATCACTCAACATAGGTAATGTGGATAAATGGCGGCGATTCTTTTCTTCTTGATATTTACAACACGGATCCCACTGCCATGACAATGTGTAGCAACCTGCACATAGTACAGACACAATGCCAAATGGTGCACAAGCTAATGAACTCCATACAAGACCTGAAATTAATGATAAAATATTACACCAATGATAAATATCAATTTACAAAAAAATCAAATGACTAAACCCACCTATAGTAAACAAAGATTTTACTGTAAGCTTTTGCTAGGATACAAATTCATTATTTAAGCGAATATCATAAACTAAAAGAAATTCACAATATTTTACTATCAATATCCTATTTTTTTCTAATCACGAATAATAATAAAACATGACATACCTGATGTAATGCTACAGAGTCCACTGTAAACAGAAACCTTATGCAAGAGGTTTCCTACATAAATCCAACGTGCTGTTTCTTCACCAAGTGGCTCTGGTTCTATCACAATAACGCTAACGCCGGCCTCCAGTGCTCTTTCCAGTTCCATCTCAAACTTGATGTGAGCATTTTCACTATCATAAACTTCTCTGATGATCGCGACACTGGATGGCTTTAGATCACTATAAACAAAGCCCGGTTATGTAATTACGAAGCAAATTATATACTATGAATAAGTTTAGAGAGTAATACATAAACGATAATTTATTGTACAGTATTTGAAGAAATAATTACAATAAGTTTACGGAATTTCATTTACTATTTACAAACCTGTCACTTTCATCACCCGCCATCTTATAAATATAGACAACTACTCATTTATAGAGTAGAGTCAGTAAAGTTATGACGAGTTAGTATTATGGTCCGAAAAAATAATATTTTTCAAAGGAATGTACAGATTTTGAAAAGCAGTTCTAAAATATGACACTTGTTACATCTATTAACTTGATAATATATTTTGATCACAAAAATAAAATGGTACAATTGTCATATTTTATACTTATCCGAAATATTGAGTAATGTACTTCGAAATCTACAATTTTTTCTATCTACAATTTAAAACGACTCAATAGAATAATAATACACCGCAAGTGCGGTGTATTTATCTGTTGATAACAACACTAGTTTACTGATTTACATATTTTTTGTTGTGACAACACTCTTAATATTTTTTATGGTTTCCCCGCGTTTTAAAGATAAATGAAGAAGCTGTTTCAACTTTTTATAGAGTATTAACTTAATATATGAGATAGTCAGACTGTAATGTCAGGAAATAATTCTTTGACTAATTCATTTGAGTGCATGACTTACGTGATTGTTCGCGTTTGCTTCCCAACATGATTTTTATGGGAACGTACTCAAATACCGGTAGAATGTACCCATAGTGGTTACCTACATCCTTCCAGGAGGATTAAACTGTACCTATTAAATATATTCTAATTATTGAAATAAATAGTACTTACAACAGATTTTTTAGGTGTAAGATCACATCATCAAATGCTTCCTTCCTCTCACACCTACCTACAGTTTCTAAATTAAGAAAGGATGATTCAAGGTAAGGTTGGTTGGTAAGTTATGAGAACCTATCATAACAGTGCAATAAAAGTGTGTGAGAGCCATGCTTCGGCACGAATGGGCCGGCTCGACCGTAATGATAATAGTATCAGGCGTAGGCCTGACAGAATACCGATGTGAAACAACGCATGTGTTGTGCTTTGTCGTGTGAGTAAAGTTACCTGAGGCAAAATTAGCCCTCCCCCCCTCCTCAGTCTCCGCAATCCCCGAATCCCCACAATCCCTATATTCCCAATTCCCAAAAGGCCGGTAACGCGCTTGTAACGCCTCTGGTGTTTCAGATCTCCATGGGCAGCGCCGATTGCTTACCATCAGGTGATCCATATGCTCGTTTACCGGCTTATCCCTTAAAAAAAACGATGTCCCGCCACCGTAAGCATGGGCCTGCGGATGGAGAGCATGGATAGCTCGCCACCCAACCACAACTGAGCGTGCGGCGCGTCGTGTTCCGCGCGCGCCTCAAAGAGCCATTAGACCATCATGGATGGGGCCCAATAGGGCTGATGCCGATACGGAGCCGGGGAGGAGTTAACGGGTTACCGGGGCTCCGGCTCAAAGGGCAGGAGTAGGAACGGGATAATTTTTAGTCAGTAAGAGTCTGACGCTAAGGCGGGAGAAGTCATTCCATGATTTTCCCCTCTTAAAAAATCCCTAAAAAAAGAAGATCAATAACATTCAGGTGGGTACGAGCACGACCAAGTGGGTACTTGACAGCCTAAAAAACCTATTTAGTCAGTCAGTTAGATAATGCGAAAATATCAAACACGTATCCTTATTTTGTCGTACTAGTAGTTATAAGGAAACAATACTTATAAAAACGACTTTAAGTTTTTGAGTGGGAGCTGGCTACGTCACTGTACCCTATTTTAAAATGAGTAAATCATCAAAATAAAATGTAAGTAACTACCTCATTATAGGGACACACACAATTATTTGATTAATTGTGCCCAGTTCTCAGGTAATAGGCTCTCCCCCTATCACATGGAACTTATAACATACCTAAATGGTGGAAAGTGGGTGTACAGTTCACCCACTTTCACTGAACACTGTACAGTGGCATTACGCGCCATAACATGCCATCTACCCCTTCTGTAAAAAGCGTTATGATATAAAAAATATTTATGGTTAATCCTAAATAACGTCAAATTATTGTGCAATTCCATGATATAGAATAAAAATATTGCAATGATGACTTATATTAATTACAATATGGTGAGAATATGGTGTTCAATATTAATAGCCCATGAGCGTAGTCTATTTCTGGACTATGGGTGACCTTCTTTCTTTATATATGTAAGTGGGTTTTCCATTATGTACGCGCTAGGGGGTTAAAGATCGGAGTTTTATTAGAGAGCACTGCACACATTAAATAGAGATCTGACATCTCTGTTGTAATGTAGCCCCTTGGTCGACTCCTACGACATCCACAGGAAGAGAAACAATAAACAGTAAGGTAACAATTACGTTGTACACAGCCACACTGCTCAAATAAAGCGTTAAAAATGTTAAAATTTGAATGTATGCTCAAAGCAAAGTATTTCCCTCCACTCACGATTGTCGCCCACAACAGCCGTTCTAAAATCCGCTTGCCTGTTTAGGAAAAGGTGAATGTTGCAAACTGTGTGCCCACAAGTATTATAAAAGTAACTTTAAAACTAAAGCTTTACAGGTTGACACTTTATTACTAGAACATAAGGTTGCATTTCAAATGACAAATAATTGCGACATTCGTCATTTTGTATGTTAGGGCATTATCTTGTTTAGTGTAGAGATACTTACTTAAAAGGAGTGTGTGGGTGCAAGGCTGACCTTATAGGTGCTACCCACAGTCTTCGCTAAACATTTAGAATGATTTCCCTGACATCCCACACTCGATTGCTATTATCACCATAAATGATATAAAGAACTTTAACCTGATATTAAATCTATATGATTCGTCAATGTTTTACAAAATACTTCTTCTTGCCTTAAGTATAATTAATGGTAGACTTGATAAATATAGGTGCGATAG